TAAGTTTATCTGAAGATGGAACAACCGGCTCTAAGAAGTTCCCATCCGAAACACAGAAGAAAAACTCACGATGTCTTCTAAACTATTAAGCCTACTTTACAATGTGCTTTTTATTTTCTGTTTTGTGCTTTTTGCTATTTTTTACATCTTGTCTTTTTGCTTTTTATCCGGTTTTTTTGTTTTATATCGCCCGAGATAAAAGTTAATGAACTTTGGAAGAAACAGGAAACACGTAGTAAGAAATGCAATTGTCGATAAAACGGTTGCAAAGGGGAAAAAAAGTAAGAGCTAAAAAGCAAGAAACAGGAAACAAAGAGCACATTGTAGAATAGGATTTAGTCCTAGCCACGGAATAAAAAGAAGAAGAAGACCAACTCGAGGATGAAACGTGGACTCGAAACATGGCTTCGGAAAACACATGCAAAATCACTGAAAATCAGGATGATGCGATTTTAGTGCCGTTGCGGGAAAAATTGGAAGTACATACCACATGATAACGCGTATAAAATACACATGTATGCAAGTTTTTTTTTTAAAGCAGAAATTCCAATTTGTATAAAATTTCATTTTATTTGAGTAAATAGTAAATGCATTAATATTTATTGAAAAATACATACACGCATGCATAGTCATAAATTATTATTAAATTATCGTTTTTTAACTTATTGACATCAAAAAACTTTGAAATTGAAAAAAAATAAAACGGAACTTGAACGACAACTTTCCTTCTCAGAATATATTCTACGCACGAAAATACACAAACGTACAGAATCACAGAAAAATGGGAGGAAAAATATTTATCAAATCCTCTAAGTAGACAGTTTTCTCCAACAGGAGCACTCGAATTTGTTCTTCTGTACAGCACTTTTCCGAAGCCAGAAATCGAGCTCAACTTTTTTGTGGCCGGCCGCTTGAGTTTGATCTCCTTCTTTTTACTCCGTGGTCTTAGCGCTTTGAATGCTAATAAATCTTTTGATAGAACCCTTGAGGTGCTATTCAGAACTGTCGATAGAACTGCTGGAACGTTCAAAAATTTTTTAACCCTCTGCAGATGTTAAATAATCTGACTTTCAAAAAATCGCCATATCTCTTAAATTATTGATCCTACTTTTCGTTAAAACTCTTGGGATGCTACCCAGAACTGTCGACAGAACTGTCAGGATTTTAAAAAAATTTTCACCTCTCTCAGGTGTTAGAAATTTTTCAATCCAACATACGAAACATTGCTCTTAAACCGTTAGTTCCGGCAGTTCTGGATAGCAGTCTACGAGTTCTATCAAAAGTCATTAGCATTCAAAGCGCTAGGAACTAGGACCGATAATTTAGAAGATATCGTGATTTTTCGTCTTGCGTTTTGTGAAGTTGGCACTCTAAATTTTTACTTTTCGATTTTTTATGTTAATTTGTCAGAATGTCTATTTTTCATTTTGGGTAGGAACTCCAGAACTCTTCGGAACTGTGACGAAAATTTCATTTTTTGAAACATAAGATGCCAACTTCACAGAGATAACGAGCCCCTGGTCTCCCCTATCCTATCCTCGCGTTTCTAGAACCAATAAAAATATGGAAAAAAGCGAGCGAGCGAGCGAGACAGAGAGAGAGAGAGAGAGAGAGAGAGAGAGAGAGAGAGAGAGAGAAAGAGAGAGAGAGATCTCGCTTGAGCGGTTGGAAAACGCATGAATTTTCCGAAACAATCTCGTGGCATAAAGCACGGTCGATAGCACGACCGGCTACGTCGATGTTCGATGGGCAGCTCACCCATTGGCGGTGGGCCAATAACAGAAACGGCACGCCACTGCCCCATCGCGATGCACAGGTGTGACAGTTGGAAAACAATGACACGCGCGATACGTCGCGAAACGCGGCACGAATGAAACCCTACGAATGAAGCTGGCGGATGACATGATCGACATGATAACACGGAGCAGGTTGTCGTCCCTTCGTAGGACACCGTTACCCGATATTATTACGTGTCGATAACGTAACAATCGTGTCATCAATTCGCGAGAGAAAATGCGCTTTATGACGCTTTACACGTCACTTCACGAGTTCGATTTGTTTGGTTTTTAAAACCGAACGGTGAAACGGCGATCCTCGATACGAACAGACGACGCAGGGCGATTTAAATTGCATAGGAAGAAAGGAAATCTCGCGGATGCGACCCGAATAAAAAATCGTAGGATCTTTTCTCCAAGTAGTTTATCAGTTTCGGTGCTGAATTAGAGTTTAACTTTCCGCGATTCAAAATAAACGAATATTCAGCGTTTTCTCGTTTTAATTTAATTTCATTTTAATAAATAAAAAAATTATTTTTTTATAGCTGAACTAATATACAAATACACACTGCGTTTAAAAGAGGTATATAATTATATTAGAGAAAGCAAAAATGGAATTTCTGTGCAGTCCAGTACGGCAATAAAAAAATTTTTTAAATCTTTATTGTTTGGAGAAATTGATGAAAATAATAAATTCCGCAAACATAGCTTGCCAACTTTGATTGTGCAGCAATTCAAATGCTTGAATAGTCACGCGAAAGACTAGCACATCGAATCCACAAAATCATAAAGGAGTAATGCTCGTGTTACACTACTATGCATTGAAAGATTGAGAATTGCAAATTGAAGATTAGAATTCGACCAATCAGATAATTTTAATTTTAATCTGTTTTGTTCTGATTAGCTGAATTTTAATTCCCAATTCGCAATTCTTAATCTCCAATGCGTAGTGTGACGCGGACATAAGACATAATTTCGCATTGTTTATATTGTTTACATTATTTCGTGTGTTCTTAATTCTTTATGTCCAGCAGTTTACCTTCTTCGCGATTTCTGGATGGCGTGGAAAAAAAAAACTGATTCACGCAAGTTACACCAAATTTTGCAAAGAATTTATTATTTTTTATAGGTAATTTTTGCGTTCACGGTATTGCGCTCTGCGGCGCACATTTCATTTCATAGGAATACGCCATCGGCTGCTACCAGCTGATCGCCATGCCATACGGAGCCTTTCTCCTATCCGTCAGCGAACCCACCGTTGTCCGCCTCCGGAGACTCCCGTTAACCAGAAATTGTATAGTCGGTGTCAGAATGCGTGGTTGGGATACCTTCTTTTACTAGTAGCTTTCTGAATTTGCTTTTAAGAGGATAATAATAAAAATGCAACCAAACATATTCAACCAAACATATTCACCAAGAATATTATATTGTTTCAATAAAGTGTGAAACAAATGA